TTACTAACACTTTATGCACATGTATTGTTTTAGCCAGGAACAAGTGGCTTCCCTCGGATCCTCAGATCATATCAGAAGGACTATATGCAATAGCTGTAGTACTCAGCTTCTCCCGCATTGCTTACATTCTTCCAGCGAACGAAAGCTTTGGCCCCCTTCAGATCTCTTTGGGAAGGACCGTGAAGGATATCTTCAAATTCATGGTCATCTTCATCATGGTGTTTGTTGCCTTCATGATTGGAATGTTCAACCTTTACTCTTACTATCTTGGTGCAAAATACAACCCAGCGTTTACAACGTGAGTACCTAGGAAAGGAGACTACAGTGAGTATTGTTTGAGGCATAACAACATTCCTTTCTAGGCTGTCTCCTGGGTAACTTTCCATGCCTTTATGTGACCAATGCAGTTTACACTTTATAGCTGAAACATACATTCAATTATTCAAAGCAGTGTAGAGGTTTGTCACTGCACGAGCCCATTAAAGACAAAAAGACATGCTTGGCTAAAAAATTGTGCATGGTTTAATAGGCATTACGGTTTAATGCTTAGCTATACTCAGGCTAAGTGCTCTTCCAGAAATCTCTCTTAGTATCACAGAAAAGTAGGGCTAGAAGGGACCTTAAGAGATCATCTAGTTTGACCCCCTGAGGCAGGATGAAGCATGCCCTGAACATACCCGACAGATTCTCCCTCCATCATCTCTTCCACTTCCACGTCATCACTCACCATCCCTCCTGTGGACTCAGCCACCTTCATTCTCCCTTCCTGAGCAGCTGCTTCTCATCCTGATTTTTTGGGGTCCCTATTGCCTCTTGTCAGAGCAGCCTAGTCACACAGTCATGCTTCTCCTTTTCAGTAAGCATTCTGCTACCTTTGATCTCATTCAGTGCACTGCAAGGCCTTTTCTGGCTCACAAGTTCATGATGAGAGCTCAGTATCTGCCAACTGCCTCCAGTTTTGCATGCTTTAGATTTTCCTTGGGTCAGAGATGTCCCAAAACACTCTGTAGGCATCTAACCTCCTTGCCTCAGTTGCATTATCTCTGGCTTGCACTGAATGGCTTGCCAGCACAACAACTGACTGAGACCTGGGTGTCATGATTGGCAACAAAATGAACATGAGCCACCAATGTGATGCCGTAGATGGCAGAGCTAATCAAGTACTGGCATGCATCTACCAAGGCATCTCGAGCAAGGCTAAGGATGCCTCCTCCCTCTCTACTCGGCCTTGGTGAGACCGTAGCTGGAGTACTGTGTCCAGTTCTGGGTGCCGCACTTCAGGAAGGATGTGGAGAAGCTCAAGAGAGTCCAAAGGAGGGCTAGACACATGATTAGATGCCTAAAGACCAGGTCATATGAGGAGAGGCTGAATGACCTGGGACTGTTCAGCCTGGAGAGGAGAAGACTCAGAGGGGACTTGGTGACAGCCTATAAGTATATCAGGGTGTGCATCAGGGCTTGGGGGAGCATCTATTCACCAAGGTCCACCAAGGGAGGACAAGCAATAATGGGCAGAAGCTGATTGAGGATCACATCAGGCTAGACATAAGGAAAAACTTCTTTACAAGTTGAGTACCGAGGTTTTGGAACAGACTTCCCCCAGAAGTGGTACAGCCACCCACCCTGGTGAACTTCAAAAACTGTCTTGACACCCATCTTGCTGGGATCATATGATCCCAGCAGTCTTTCCTGTCCAAGTGCAAAGGGGCTGGACCCAATGATCTGTAAGGTCCTTTCCAGCCCCCAACAACTATGAAGTTATGAATGGGGAGGTAATATTGAATCTTTGATTAGAAAGTTTTCAGTCTCCCATTTTGATGTTAGATCCCAAGTCTTTTGGAGAATGTTGAATCAACGGGGACAGAAGCTTGGTAATTTAGAAATTCTTTTTTCTGGAGGAAAATAGTGAAAACAGAACAAGCAAGAAAGGGCTTTTTATGGGATGAGTGAACATGAAACAAAATTTTTCATAACATTATCTCTGAAAATAGCAGTGGGGAACCCTCTTATACATCACTTTATAAAAAGAGAAAAGACGAGGTTAAGTGTGTGATTTCTGTTAGGCATGTATGAAGTGGCAAATATTTGCTTCAGATTTGGATTTGGCTGATATGGAGGGACAGTGATTTGATCTGGAGATTCAAATCACTGTCCTGATCCGATTCAGCCAAATTGGATCCAAAGATTTGGCGCCGCTTCGGAGATTCGGCCATAGACTAAACAAGCAGCAGTCCTCACCATGCTGGACACAGCTGCCTCCAGCTGGTAAGTCTGTTGTGGTGGGTGGAGGGGGGAGGAAAGGGTTGTGGGAGGGCAAATCAATGCCCCACCCGTGAGAGAGGGATTGGAGCTGGGGCTGAAACAAGCTGCCTATTGGGGGAGGGCAGGGGGAGGGCACAAGACTCGGAGAAGGGGGCGAGGGGCACGGGATGTGGGCATGGCAGCACTAGGAGTGGGGGCTATGCCCTGCTGCCACTTACCCAGCCGGGGCGGGGAGGGGGTGCAATACAGGCACAGCTTGCTCTGGGCAGAAGGGGGCAAGCTGCAGCAGGGCATAGCCCAGCCAGGGTGGGAGGCACAGGATGCGGGCACAACAGCACTGGGAGTGGGGGCTATGCCCTGCTGCTGCTTGCCCCCTTCTGCCCAGAGCAAGCTGTGCCTGTATTGCGCCCCCTCCCCACCCCGGCTGGACAGCTTGTCCCAGCCCCAGCCCCAATCTGTCCCTCACAGTGGGAGCGTTGATCTGCCCCCCTCCCCCTTCCCTCCCCCCTCTGCTCACCACAACAGACTTACCAGTTGAAGGCAGCTTTGTCCAGAGTGGTGAGGACTGCTGCCTGTTTAATCTATGGCTGAATCTCCAAAACGGCGCTGAATCTTTTCCGAATTGATTCAGAGGCTTCTGATTCAGTTCTTACCTTTTAATTGGTCTCCCGGTTCGATTCAGATTTGGAGATTCGGCGGCCAAATCAAGCCGAATCTCCTCTGCATCAAATCAGCTGCCAAAGCTTCACACAGCCCTAATTTGTGTTCCTAGACTGTAAGCTACTTGCGCCGAAGCGTAGGTAAAATGAGGAGGAAGTTCAATTACTCATGCAGCTGAAATGCCACAGCTGAATGCAGCTGCTCTGTCAGGCTCTGCATATTCAGAGAGACAAATATTTTGAATGTGTTACTGAGGAATTTCTCAAAAAAAAAAAAAAACCCCAAAAACCCAACATAATAAATCATTCAGGGAGAAGCAGAAATAGCACAGTGATAGGAGCAGGAATTTGCATTCCTTCAGTCAAGAATATGGTTTTCTTAACAGAGCACACACTGAAGACTATAACATGCAAGGAAAGTCGGAGACTAAGCATTTCTTGATCTCCCTCTAGTGACCACCCAATAAATCAACAACATCCATGAAAAGGTGGAGATTGCCTGCACTTCTTGACGTTGGGTCTGTGTTGCTTGCATCTGCCACAAAACATTAATTAACTACTGTACTCGTTGAATGGTAGGAAAAATTACCATTGGAGAATATTTAGGGGGCTCCATCCTATCTGTGAAGACTGAACAATTGGACTATACCTGAGAAACAGGACCTCAGAATTAAAAGATTGATATGATAATTAGGCATGCAGGCTAAATTCACATGTTTGTTGCATTTAGACTAGATATGGGACAACCTACCCATACTCCTGCATGCTGGTCTGTAATAAATCTGGACCACACATAGCCCCTTTCACTTCAAAAATATCAGAAAGGGTTAGGAAAACCCCAGAGCACTGAAGACGCTGAGTTTCAGATGAATGCCTTGTTCAGACAGAACAGTGTGGAGCTTTGCAGAAGCAGTAGGAGGTGCACACTAGAAACCTCAAGGACATACTTTGCACTTGAGGCCCAGGGCAGAATGGGAACTGACCTCTCCACACATCTCTCTGTGTATGCATCAGCATGGATCCCTTAGGAGTTGTGCTGCTATTAACCTCTGCTGCTGTACCTGTGCTGTGAATGGTGGTTCAGCTGTAATCAAATGCATTGTGCTGTTTCACTCGGGAGACCACCAGACTCCCAAAGGAGCATTATTTCCTGGCTCCTTCGTGAAAGGTCCATGAATGGAAATTCTGATATCAGCCAGAGTTTTGCTACTGACTTCAATACAGCAAGGAATTCACCTCTGGAGTTAGTAGGTTGTGGAATTGCATTTGTGGATTCTGGGCATGCACAGGGTGATGGGAGGGATCCTATGCCCCAGGCTACCAGGGGGCAGATGTTCTGGTTACCCCCATTCCCCCAGACTCCCAAATCACTTCCAACCCTTGACAGGAAAAATAAATAAATTAAAAAGGCCACCTGGGTAAAAATTAAGGACACTGCAGCTTCCCCCCTGCACATGGGAACAGGAGAGGAATTAAATGATAGATCCACAACCTCCTTTCTCCTGTCTGAGCCATATTATATAACAATTTCCCCCTTATGGATCTAAGCCAATCCGTACCATGACATTTAAGGGTTAAGTGAGTTGATACTACAGCATTAAAGTAAGACAGAGTAGGCAGGAACTGGCATTTTGATGCGTCATTCATGTAATCCATTCCACAGTGGGAAATAGGCTCTGCCATTAGCCCTACTACGAGGAATTGACCTTCCCATTTTAATATCTGTCTTTTCTGAGTGACTGTTTCTCCCCCAACACATAGGATCCAATGCTATTACTCTACCATCTAGTATAACACGTGCTTTATAAAGTTGATTTTAAATTTTCTAATCAAGGAAAATGTGCCTCATAGCATTCCTCTGCCACCTGAGGATACATTTTAATGGAGGGGTTTACAGGGACAAAATGCAATTACATTGATCTGTTTTCCATAACAAGGTCAAAGAGAATTGAAGACACAGGGTGCGACTCACTTATCACTTGAATAGAAGAATATGCCCTTGAAGCACAGGAGTTAATCAACAGCTGAGCGAATACCTCCCTCCCTTTCTGGGATCATAGCCGTCAGTTATAGTATTCCATTGGCGCATGTTTCCAAAAGCGTTGGCTAATGAATTTTTGACAGTCTCTGATGCAATCCTATCATGAAGCAATTTACTGAAGAGCTTAGTTAATGATCGGGTTCCCTTTATGCCTGCTACTCTCACTTGAGGTAAATGGGAAACAGCTTGGAATGAAATGGTGATAACTTCCTAGAGGTGCGGTAGGATTACCTGTGTGAATAAGGGTTGAAAGATGACGCTGTACCTGGGATGTGTAGGTGACAGGGAGATGCCCTTTTAAAGGGAAATTAAAAGGCTCTTCTTTCCTCAGTTCAA